TACATTGAATGTCATTATCTACATTGTTGGCCACTCACTCTATTTGCGAAGATCCTCCTGGAGCTCTTCACAAGACAAACTTGGTCTTCACTATCCTGAATATATTTGTGTCATCTGTAAATTTGAGCAATGTACTGCTCAAAGAACGCCAAAAGGTTGGTGAGGCAGGACTCCCATATGCAGAAGCCATGCTGATTCTCCCTCAACAGGTTTTGTTATTCTGTGTGCCTAGTAATTCTGTCTTTGATTATAATGTCCACTCATTTGCATTAGGCTAAGTGGCCTTAAATTTTCTGGTTCCTCTCTTGACCCTTTAAAAAAAATCAAAGTAACATTTGCTACTAGTGATGAATCACGTATAGTAATAAGGAGGATCAACAATCTCACATCTGAGAACCCTAAGAACCCTCCAGTGTTCAGGACCTTGCGGAGAATTATCGGTTTTTAATTTCCTACAATAAGTCTAGAATTTCACCCGTCATCAATTAAATTTGACTCAGTCTTCAGAGTTTCTTCCGATACAGGACAAGCTAGCAGAAGAACAGCTCTTCTTCTTCCTCCTCTTCTTCCTCCTCTTCCTCTTCTTCTTCTCAGAGAAAGACAGAACACCCTTAGCTCCACAACTACTATCCTAGTCTGTTCCCCTCCATTGGTTCCAAATTGATCTAGCTGGGATGTTGGTCCATGGTCTCCACATTTCCCCAAGGAGGAAGATAGGGGGGGATAAGAACCCACTTCCTCCAGGAGTCTCTAGTTTGTGTTAGGTCAGAGTTAGCAGGGGAGAAAATATTTTGTTTTGCAGAAGAAGAGGATGCATTTTAAAAAGCCACACTAGGAATCCTGGTGGTTATTTTTCTGGCTGGATGAGGACAGGCAACCATGGAAGATCCTTGCAAGCTAAACTTTCAGCACCAGAACTGCTTTCAGTCAAGCAAAGGTATTTGCACTGATGAGCTGTTTGCATCTTTCAGTGTCCACTCCTCCTTCCAATGTCCTTTCATCTTTTCCTTTTACATGTTTTTGTTCCTCTTTGACTACGATACCATTACGATGATGGGAAAGGTAGTTCCGAGATTAGACAGGAAATCTCAAAAGTTTACTGTGCTGTCTTGTTTGAGATTATTGAGTCCTTTGGGAAAGAACAGTTCCTTCTACACAAAGCAAAATCAGTTTGTAAATGCTGATTGGGATTCCATCTCTGCCATAATTACAAGCTTGCATGATGACAAACCCTGTGACTAAGGACTCCCTTCCATGGAAACCAGAAATCCAGGCCACACTGCGAAGGTGGAAGAAGTACAACTGATCTCATTTTGACTGTGCACAATGAACCCAACCCCCTCTGATCCCCCTACCATTTCTTACCCTAGCCACTCCTCCCACAGAAGTGAATGGTCACCATCAGTATCTGCAAGATACGTTTATGCTACTACAATTTAGAAGACTGCTGAGACAGGGACAGAGACCATCCATCTCCCCAACATAAACATCTGAATTATGATTTTGACTATTTAGCCAGAAAACTCAAAAACTTCAAACTAGAAAAGAGTCAGCTAGTGAGACTAGACTCATCGATTGCCAGTGCCTTCTTATCCACAATGTTCATGAACATTGATAGAGCACCGCTGTGATATGCAAATTAATTGTGACCGTCCGCCTCAAGGTGCCTCTCTAGCATACCTTGGTGCTGAACAAGCCCTCTTAAAGCACTAACTTCAATTTGCCAAACACAGGTTTTAAAAATTTGACTACAAAAATGTTTCTTTTTAATTCCACAATCACTGCACTTAGTTTCCTTCTCAGTGGCCTCGTGCCCTATCAAAGGCTGCCATCTGTGAAAAATATTCAAATATTTTATTTATTTTTTCACCCATCCTTACTACAAACAGGAGGCACTGATGGGAAATCTGCCACCCAAAGAAGGAAGCAGATTTGAAAATCATCTGTTCTGCTGAGAAGAACACTGTGTACTTCTTGGAAATACGAAAAGGGAGAATTTCTCAGCACTGTCTATACGGAGGGCAAAGTTTACTTATCTTGTCCAAGGATGATGCTTCCCAACATTACAGCTCCCAACAAATATTCTGTTTAAGTTAAGTCTCAAGGCAGCCAATAATTTAAAGACTCTTGGAACTATGTATGGATTTTTCCCCCTTAAAATGTCTTACAAAACCGCAAGAATTCACAAATTCAAGTTCCACGCAAAGGACATTTTATAATTACGAAAAACCAAGGTACTTAGATAATTTAAAAGCACCTTCTTAAAACTTTATTTTTAGGATTTCTAAGCTGTCTTTATGCCGTAGGGGACTCAAAGTGGCTCATGAGTAATTAAATATTTATCACCATCATTAATAATGCATTTATCTGTATCCCATCTTTCCACCTGATGGGCATAGGAGGACACCGATCGCAACGAAACCTCAGCGTCCTTTCAATACACGACATTATCTCTAAAACAATGACTATATATAAACCTAATGCAAATCCCATCGTGAGGCACAATGTAAGCCGTGTTCAGACATAGCTCTCCACAAAACTCGTACACCATGGGGATGTGTGACTGTGCAGGCCCCAGTTCCAGGCCCCACTGATGGTCACTCCTTGCATCTCTTTTTCAAACAGGACCCACTAGTGTGGGTCCTAAACCTGGCTGCCGTCATGGCAGAGGCATTCCTCTGCTGCTAATTGCATTCCTCTGGCACTTGGAGCTTCCATCCATGGATGACCAGATTCCTTTGAGGAGCCTGAAGGCACCTAGAATAAGAGGAAAGGACTGTGCAGCAGAGGAACACTACTGCCATGGATTAATAGGGGCACAACTGGAAGTAGGACTTAAGTCTTAACTAGCATGGTTGTTAATTCTCAAAATTAGGAGCGGGAGAAAGATTAAGTGCAATGACAGGGTATATGTGAGGTGGTGAGGCCACCATTGGAGATGTGACCCCATTCGTCCACCATGGATGGTGCCAAGTCTGCATAAGGCTGCAGCAATCATTTCACAGTAACCGATTCTATCAAGGCGGATCCTCAGTTTCTGAAAACTATCAGTGACACTGAAGAATAGCATAGGCTGCTGCTGCCTTGTTAATTCTATTACGTAAGAGAGATAAAGAAAGAAGATTCTTTTTTCCCACCAGAACAAAGATTAGAGTTCGCAAGCTCTTGAATGATCCAGAACTCTTAATTAAATCTGAATTCTTCAGGATTCTAACTCAGGACAACCAAAAGATTCTGAGTAATAGGTAGCATTTTTAAAATAGCCCAGCTTCTCATTGATGTATTATCTTTTTTATTTGTATCTCACTACCATCAGGGGAACTGCTGCCCATTCAAGACAAGGAGCTGACCAAGTCCTGCACAGCAAGTACCAAGCACTTTTTTTTTCTTTTTAATTAAAGATTAAGATAGAAAGGAAAGAATTTAGGGCTCAGAGTAAAACCAATGTAATTGTTCTTCAGTTAACTTAGTAGGAGGAGCACTAGATCTCCAAGCAGGTAAAATGTAAATAGGATGGCTCGGTCTCAGAAAACAGGAACATGATCACGAGGGGTAATTCTAAAGTATTCATAATTCTCAGAAAAATTAATAAGGATGAATCATTTGGTAGTGAAGTCCCAAAGGACTGTTACCATTTGTAAAACCAGAAAAGGACTGACATGGACATTTTTATGGCTGTCATGTTGACATGGAAATAGTTCTATATTTAAGCCTTTTGTGGGTATTTCTTAACAATTGTTTTAGTTTTATCTGCTGTGACATGACGGTTTTTCTTACTGTCATCAAACTGGTATGATGTGTTAGCAGATTCTTGTATTAGTTTCTAACAATGTTAATTACTCCAGCTTGGATAGTAATCTCAATAAATGAAGAGTAAATAAGATATAACACAGAATATTGTGCAGCTAAGAATACAATACTCTGGATTTTGGAGCGACCAGTTTGCTACCCAAACTGAATTTGCATACCTTAAAACTAGCTTCAGCCTTTCAAATACTGGCTTTCAAAACCTGCTCCATAGAATCCTGGACTTTCTTTAAACATTTAAGATTTCTCAGCAAGCAGATCAATGAAGCCAAACCAGTTTCCCTGGAAAGGACACCTTTCCCACCTCTGTCAGTCTTCTTTTGTAGTATATTATTTTTTACTCCAAGCCCCATGGAGCATACAGGGTTTCTATGGTGGACAGCCCAGCAGTTCCTTGGCATCAAATTACTGTGCAAGGAACACTCAGAAGGTAGAGAGAGAGTTGAAAGGCATTGCTCTAGACTTGGTGATGGAAAGTGTCATCAAGTCACAGGCGACTTATGGCAACCCCATAGGGTTTTATCCAGGGCCAGGGCTAAACACAACACATGGGAACATAAGAATCTGCTTTACATGGAGTCAAAACCACTGGTCTCCCAAGTTCTCTACTGTACATTTTGATTGGCAGCCAGAAGTGCAGGCATGTCCCCCACCCCAGTCCTGCTACCCTAGGCTGCAGCAATCACATTTGTATCCCACCCTACCCCCATGGGTCACATGGTTCTCCCTCCCTCCCTCCCTCCTTCATGACAACAACCCTGTGCAATAGGCTAGGCTGAGAGAAAGTAACTGGATGGCCCAAGGTCACCCACTGAGTCATCTAAGTGGAGATGCCGGGGATTAAACTTGGGGCCTTCTGCTTGCAAAGCCTGTGTTCTACCACTTTTCTTTTCTGTAACGAGACAGGCAAAAGCACCAGAAACTTAAATCCCTTAAATATGCTACAATAGGCCTAGTGGGAGGGGAAGGAGGCACTGAAACTACAGCCAACCAAAACCTCTTAAGTCTCACGTCTCATACAAGAGATGAATAACCCGAGCACAAAAGAAGACCTGCGAGAATTTTAATGTTAAAACCAGCCTTTGGCACAGTTTACAGCTCAGCCGCTCTCTCTCTCGGAATTCAGCTCTTTCAACCAAAGTCCACCAAGCAATTTGCACAAGATGCCAATGTGGCATTTTTTTTTTACTCACCCCTAGCCATCTCGCTCCTTTATTGGCAGCCTGTTGAATCTGCACCCTTTTCAAGGTGACATGGTAAACAGCTCCTTCCTCTACCTCTTCACCCCAGTCCTGAATCGAGCTCTGCCATAGGAGGAAGAAAACAAACGCCACATTTAAATCAATAATAACAACCACAACTCCAGAAGACAGTGTTGCTTCGAAAAGCAAGAACCCTGCTAAGATGCATTTGCAATTCCCCCGAACTTGGCTAGACTGAATTGCAGAACACCATCTACCAGTGAAATATCTGAATGTGACAATTAACAACAACAACAATAATTTCCTCACAAAAAAAATCTAGGCCAGCTGCTAGATAGCTTGTTCCAGAAACTCAGTGCACAGGATGCGCCGCATGAAGTAAAATATAACAATTGCACCAAAAGGCAGAGAAACTTTTTCAATGGAGGCAAAGCAGAGAGATTCCTTGGCAAGCTGCCCTTTCCTGTGGCATCAGGACACCCCGAGTTTCCAGTAAGCTTATTATTGTTTTTTCCAGGACTTTCACATATTTCAAATTTTTCTACAATGTTCTTTTTTTATAAGGCAATACTCCCTTCTTTAATATCGCCCCCAAGTATTATCACTGCTGTTGCAATTGCAGGAGCAGGCTGCGCTTTCGTATGAGGAGTTAAGCAGGCAGGCAGATTACATTCAAACAGGCATTTAAATTACACTGGCTCTCCATTTGTTATGAGATGATGGGTCTGAACTCATTTCAAAGGTTTTGTGTTCAAAAGAAAGACCAGTGTATGAAAGCGTGAAAACATCTTATAGATTTCCATCAGAGTATTTCCCCTTAAAGTTACAAATGCCAGAAGTCTCGCATGGAAACAGCCACCCTAACATCTTATTGAAATTTTATTTGAAACCTGTGCTGAATCCAAACCCCCCCGGATGGTATTTCCTAAAGCAAATAAAGCACACTTAAAAAAAACAAGAAGAAGAAATTCTTGCCATTCATCCAAGAGAAAAATACTCTCAGTTTATCCAAAAGTTTATCCAGCTAGCTTTTCTCCCAGTCTTTTCCCACATCACGCGTACACACAGAACTCAATCCCTTTCGGGATCAGTATCATTTTTTAAAAGCAGTAATAAAGAGGGGGGGGCGGGGGGGGGGGGAAGAAACACATATATTCTCTCGAGACAGAATTCGGGGGGAGGAAACATACAGCTCGCCCGTTTCCCGTTAAAAAAAAAAAAGTAAATCCAGCGCTCAAAAAGGGATTCCCCCGCCTGAGAGAAACCTCTTCAGAAAAGAAGAAAGCGTTCATTACCATTTTAGCTCTCCAAAGCAGTTTCATCCTTGGGTTTCTCCTCGCTACATCGCAAGGGCATGATGGGTTCCCGCAAAAAAAAAACCCCAAAACCTCCAGGCTTTACCAATCCTCTCGCCTGCACTCCCTCAACTCCAGAGGCAGGCACCACTCTCTGGCTCGGGCTGCGCGGCGCACTCACTCGGCAGTCAATTCATGACCACAAAGAGCTGTGAGTGGTGTGCAGAGAGAGAGAGAGACAGGCAGACTCCTCCCACACACCCTCTCTCTCTCACACACACACACAAGCACACGCAGGCAGAGAGAGAGAGAGTGATGTCAGGTTTTCCTGTTTATGCTTGTGGATGTCAACTCTCTCTTTCTAGGCTTCAGGCAGAGAGAGGGGAGGGAAAGCGTTTTCAGCAAGTGATCTCTCAGGCACTTCGAGACCCTCCAAGCCTGTGCTAAGCCTCTGGGGTTTATTATCTTAGGTCTCCTGATAGGCACCAAGTACCAAAACAGATATGGGGAGGGGGGGATTTCCCTCCCCCTCCTCTCTTTTTCTTCCTTACCCAGAAGGGACAAAGAGGAGGGAGAGGGTTAGCTAAACTCCTATTATCTGGGCGTGTAGGCTTCTCTGAATAATCACATCTGAATGACCCCAGTGAGGCGGACAAAATGGAAAGAGGCCTTACCGAGAGGAAGGCGCTTAACGTCCAAGACGGCCAAAAAAAAAAAAGTTACCTCAAGACAGCCAAAAGCCATTTGAATGGGACACCCACCCAACAAAGGCGATGAAAGTTCACTTCACAATAAAACGTTAATCTTTTCTGTGCCATTGTTTCTTAATCGGAAACTATTTTTAGCTCAAGGGTTTGGAGCCAGCTAGGAGAGCAAAGAAGGACCTCACTTTATTTAGGCTACCATGAGGGAGGCAGACCGAAGAGGAGAGAGCGGCAGCATTTTCACTGGTAAGGATAAATGGTGCTGCTAAGGGCCAAACCAGATGTGCAGCTAGGAATGCTGCACTCCCTACAACATTTGGGGGCTGCGTTCTGTCCTCAGAGGTCATTTCGGGGGGGATCGCGGGGGATCGCAGTTCCCCCGGGTGAGGTACGGGGGCGGGGCACATGAAGCCCCGCCCCCTGCTTCCGGCCACCCCGCTTCTGGCCCTCATTCAGCCAGGAGGAGGCAGGAGAAGAGGGAGGGTAAGTTGCTTCCTCCCTGCCTCTCCCCACCCCTGCCTGCCTGGGGCCAGGGAGGGCCTTCGCGGGGCTTCCTTGCACTCCCGCCAGCCTTGCAGGTCCACCGCCGGGCCCCTCATGGGGCTCGGCAGTGGAGCTGCAAGGCCGGCGGCAGCGACCAGGACCATTGGGGGCGGGGTGTGTGGCCTTATGACACACTTCTGGTGATGTCAGGGGGTGTGGCCTTATGACACACTTCCGGTGATGTCAGGGTGTGTGGTATATGCTAATGAGTTATGCTAATGAGTTCCCATAGCTCTTTTTCTACGAAACGACCCCTGTCTGTCCTTAAAAAACGCAAACAGGTGTATTGTGGTCTCCATTCAAATCAGGGGAGCTGCACAAGGGAAGAGAGGTAGATCAAGATGGCTAGCCCTGTTAGTCTGTCACAGTAGAAAAGAGCAAGAGACCAGTAGCACCTTAAAGACTAACAAAATTTGTAGCAGGGTAGGAGCTTTCGTGAGTCATTGCTCACTTCTTCAGATACATTCTAGCTGCGGTGGCTCAAGTGGTTAAGACGCTGAACTGCAGGCTGTGGAAGGTCAGTAGTTCAGCAGTTCGAGACCCAGGGGGTGCCGCATGACGGAGTGAGCTCCCGTCTCTAGTTTCAGCTCCTGCCAACCTAGCAGTTCGAAAGCAAGAAATTGCAAGTAGATAAATAGGTACTACTTCGGTGGGAAGGTAACAGTGTTCCGTGCGCCTTGGTGTTTAGTCATGCCGGCCACATGACCACGGAAACGTCTTCAGACAGCGCTGGCTCTTCGGCTTTGAAACGGAGATGAGCACCGCAACCCTAGAGTCGGATTCAACTGGCTTTCGAGCAAGGGAACCTTTACCTTTACTAAGGTGCTACTGGACTCTTGCTCTTTTCTAAGGGAAGAGAGGGTTTCAGCCTCCCCCTTGCCCCATTCTGCTGACCTGATACAAGGCCATGTCGCCACTATTTTCTTTCACCTCTGTCTTTCGGGGGAGTCTTCCCCATTAACAGAATGCAGAAGAGATGATTTAATGTGTACTGCAGCAAATGCAAGTTTCATCTGCTGAAATTACATGTGAGAAAACACCCTTATACTCAAAATTTGGGGTGAGGTAATTAAAGTTTCCAAGAGAGGTAACCCAGAAAACACTTTCCATAAGATATGGCTGAAGTGTCTATTATGACACAGGATATACAGCACTTCTTACAGGTTAACTTTTACCCCTCTTAGGCTGCGATCACACGCGCCTTTAGATCCGACATAGGTGCGAATGCCTGACAGATCTAAAGGGTGCGATCAGACAGCAACATCTGGGAAGTGTCTCGCAGTTGTCGGCAGCCCGTGCTGCTCCGCCACAGAAGCGGAGTTAAAAGACAGCGGGGAAAGTCCGGCTCTCACGGGTTCCGACGGGCCATGGACGGACTTTCCCTGTCTGATCATGCAAGCATGCTCTCATGCCATCGGGATGGTGTGATCATTCCATCCTTGCTCGGTGTCGGTATTTCCCCCACCCCCTCTTCGCAGTATGCACATCATTGCATACTCCATAGAGTGCGGAGGTGCGATTCCTCGTTTATGCGCATGGGGAAAATGAGCAAAAAAAGCCGACTCACCCACAGTTGTGTCTGATCACACAGTGACAGGCTGAGCCCGCAGCTACAAAGGGATGTGTGATCTTGCAACTGCATGTCAAATTCCTCCAGAGGAAAGAGCCTCGTTTCCCCTCCGCTTCAACTGGCGTGTGTGACCGCAGCCTATACTCTCTGTGTGACTATTACACCGCATGGTGGCAATTACATTCTACCTCCTCTGCTATACTTCTCTCACACATGGTAGTCGCAACCACACAGTTGCAACTGTCTAGGTAACTGTGCAGGTGTGTGTGTAAAGTGCCATCAAGTCACAGCTGATTTACGGCAGCCCCACAGGGTTTTCAAGGCAAGAGATGCTCAGAGGTGGTTTGCCATTGCCTGCCTCCCTGTCACCACCCTAGTATTCCTTGGTGGTCTCCCATCGAAATACTAACCATGGGTGATCCTGCTTAGCTTCCAAGATCTACTCCAGGGTAAAAATAACGGGGGCGGGGGATCTGCAATTTGGGGAAGCAAAGCAAAATCAGACAACAGTTCAACACACATTTGCGGAAATGGCACATCAAAAATCAATAAGAATGAATGCTTTACAGTAAATCTGTATCATACTAGAGTGGTACACATTAAGTTTTTTCTGTCTGCAGCAGAAGGTTAAACTCTGATAATTGGCTCAGGACCAAGGAACTAGAAAAACTGTCACCATGCAAATGAATATGGGACTTTACAGGAGTGTCCTTTTTGGGGGAGTTTCTGCTGTCAGAGATGGCATACACATAAGACAGAGGGCCGCCTGCCGTCATGCCCAGACTATGCACCACTGCCTCCTAAAACCTCTTCCCTTCTGGATTTTGGGTTGTCTTTGAAAACATCTGTAGATTCTTTGGAGAACCTTTCAATTTGGGTGAACCTTGTGTTTTCTTGCAGTAGTATTTCTGCTTCCACTTCCATTGACTTGTTTTTATGGATATTTGTCAGGGTTGCCAAGTCGAAATTATTCCTTACCGGGGGACTCCCACACTGCAGCTGGAGTGCACGTGCGCGTCACCCGGAAGTGATGTGACGCCGCCGGGCACACTGGGGGTGGGGCCACGACCATCTGAGGGAAAACCATTGAGTTTTCCCTCGGATGATCGTGCCCCCGCCCCCAGCGTGCCTGGCGTGGTCGCGTCACTTCCGGGTGACGCACACATTGGGGTGGGGTTCCCTCCATGGCCCGATCCGCCGCCGCCGGGGAACGGGCCTCTGGGGCGGGGGTTTCCCCGCCCCCCCGGAGGGACTTGGGAAGCCTAATATTTGTTGTTTGTGAGGTTTTATTCATTATTGTATTGCTGCTGTATTTCTTTCAACTCCTCATTGTAAAACTCCATAAGCCCTGGAAAGCTAAAGAAATCAGAAGACTCAGTTATGCCTCCTGAAACACATCCGGGGTTTGGGGAGGGACCTCAGCAGGGAATAATCAGAGTCCACGCTAAAAAGCAGCCATTTTCTCGAGGGGTACTGATCTTGGTCGTCTGGAGATCAATTGTAATAGCGGGAGATCCTCAAGGTGCCACCTGGAGGTTGGCTACCCTAAGTAAGCTGTTTTTTGTTAATACCTTCCAAGTCGTACCCTGAACAGAGGCAGTTACTCTTGAAATTTTGGTATAAGAGGCATTTACCTAGTTTGCCTTTATTTCTAGACCTTACAGTTATGAAGCTAGGCCTGACTGGGGAGGCACTGACTCATGAAGTCTCAGAAGCCGGAAGGAGCTCCCCAGGGTTTCCCAGCGGCTTCAGAGCAGGGATTCAAGGCGTACTTCTTTGTGCCTCCCCAGCAGAAGCAGCGTAAATTGTGCAAAATAAGCCCCATGCATCTTAGAATTTAAGCTTTTCCTGTCATGGCATATTTTTATTAACATGTAGAGTCCCCATCATTCTGAACATAAATCGGTTTTCTAAGAAGCTGTGCCGTGATCCGTTTTTGATCAATTTTGAAAAAAAAAATGTATACTGGGTGGCTGCTGGGGCTGTGATTTATAAAAAGGGAAGACTAATATAGTGGCAAAAGGCTAGTGAACCTTTTCTCCCCTTGGACTGTTTGCCCTACAGAAAATTACCACTCCCCGCCCCCAACTTGCTTTTGGTCCACAATAATAAATGTCTGTATCTGTTGGATTGCTACATGCGTCCACTGGTTTTACCTGTCTCAGTGTTTGGAACAAAACGTACCTCTTTTGACTTTCTTAAACTTCCAAATGTTCCCCTAATGAAATCCATACTAATAGGAGATTTTTGGGTTCTTGTGTCTG